AGAGATGTGGGCATGTCAGGATGTAGGATAGTGTATGGAACTTCTCCTTCCTTAACAGGCTCAATGATCACCGGAAGGATGGAAGGATAAGGCATCATAAGACTTTGAGCGCGGGTTCGTACCCAATTGAGGTAAGGCTCAAGAGGGATGGAATTTTTGTGTCCCAAAGTCTCGCTATCCACCTTGTTTAGCGTCCTCCATGCTCGGGTGAATATCTGGCGAAGACCTCAATTGTCATTGTCGTAGTCGAATACTAAGCCTTGAATCAACATCTCATGTGGGCCATCCCTTCGGGCATAACCAAACTGTCTTAGAGCTAAGAATGGGTTGTAAGTGATTCCTCCCCTAATGCCAAGTAGAGGGACATTATGGAATTCCCCACAACGGTTAATAATGATAACATTCTCTTTGGATCGAGAGCACCAATGAATATCCGAATGTTTGAGCGTCATTAACCTTTGTGACCACCTTAATCTTTGCTTATTCTTTAAGACTGATTGGGGAAGATGATAAATAAACCACCTTGCCAGGAGGGGAGTGCAAGACATAAGGACACCTCTTTTCTTCATTGTGCGAGTGTGAAAAGAGTGTAGGATATCCCCTAGCAATGTAGGCACCGGATTGCGTGACATGAAGATTTTGACGACACTTATATCTATGAGTTGGTCAGGATTGGGGAACAAGACCATCCCATAGATAAGAAGAGCCACAATTTCCTCAAAGGCTTGCAAGTCTAAGGAATTCCAACAGATTTGGGCTTTCCCAAACAGAAACTTTGCTAAGAAGCCTTTGACACCACTCCTAGTTTCCTAATGAGTTGTGACATCAGACGAGTGCAAGTGCAGAGCTTGAGCAGTCTCCTATGGCTTTGGGTCTCTTTTTGTACCATTGAAAGGTAGTTGATTGAGAATGGGAATCCTCAAGAGTTGAGAGAATTCTTCCAAAGTAGGCACAAGTTGGTAGTCGGGAAATGTGAAGCAATGGTGCAAAGGATCAAAGAATTGAAAGAGCACCTTCATCATATCCTCATCCGTGTTGGAGGTGACCAAGTTGAGTAGGTGACCATGTCTCTCGGTGAAAGGAGAGCTTTCAGGGATCCTTGAAGCTAGCTCTTTAAGTTGCAGAGGAATTCTTACAAAGGTTGACTTGGATATTTTCCTGCGGAGTGAATTCATATCCTACAAAACAAGAACAAAGATGAATCTCCAAAATCCTTGAAATGGTTGGTGGATGCATATGATGTTCATAATGTCCATTATGTTATGTACAAGCATGCATATACAAACAAAGCAATCAAGTTCCTAGTTTAGGCTTGCATGGGGTTTTATAGGTAAGTACCCTTTAATGGCGACCAAAATATTCCAAGAAACCAACCCTCAATGAGTGTAGTATCAAGTATCTACCAACTTCGGACTGCACCAAAGCCGGTCATCTCACTACGCCCTAAAGGCCAAGTTGGTTAAGTAAAGGTTCTAAAAGTTCGTTAGTGCTTCGCGACATCACTCAGCGGCCCCGTATTCTCCTTGACTACTCAAGGGCTACCGGTACCCACAAATATGTCACACTAACATAGCTATTGCTTAGACCATGTCGGTATACCCCACACAGTTTCCACAATGTATTGCTATTTACCTATAATGTATCCCCAAATCCTGGTAGAGGATTCAAACTCAAACAAAGAACCGTAGTGTAAAGCAAACAAATCAAGCAATGTAAGCAAGTAAATGTGACCTAACCCTAAGGTAACCCCACTTTTTCAATAAATCCCCAGCAGAGTCTCCAGTTGTGTAATACGGTGGGAGAACTGACTTGAGGGTTTGCGTTTGTATTCGCAAATGTTGCGGTTAGCAAGAGTCGCCACCGACTTTTCTTTTATCCAAAAGGAAAGGTGAAAAAGCACAAGAAAGACCTTTGAGATTGTTTTTTTGAGTTCGGGGGGTAGATTATGAAAAGGGAAGGTATTAGCACCCTTTTCATCCATGGTTTTCCATGGGCTCTTAGTTACTTGCTAGATCACTTTCTTTGTTGCTTGAAAATGTGTTTGGTGTGGTTTTGAAAGTATTTTGTAAAAGAGGTCATTCGTTTAGGAAATCTTCGTAATGATTCTCGTTCGTAAGAATGTATAAAAAGATGTTTGTCTTTTTGAAAATGTTTTCAATGTTTGTAAGTTGTTTGTAAGTTGTTTGGAAGTGTGTGTGTGTTTGTTTTGAAAAATAGCAAGGATGTTTGCTTGAAAAATAGAGCAAGTAACTAGGAGCAATCTACCTACTCTAATGTCTTTCTTGTTCATTTTTTATTCCTTTGACATTGTTGTCTTACCATTGATTTGGTAAGCAACCCTATCTTTGGATGTTTAACGGGACGGGCGTGGGTCATCGTATAACCATGATTAGCAATGTTGCAAAGTATCTTAGTATTTTCGAGGGACTAAGATCATTTTATAAGGCAACTTTGAATAGCGTCATTGAGGGACTATGATCTTTTGATTTTGTTTGTTTTACCAAGATACTTTGCATGCATAACATGGCTATTTTTGTATAAAGAAACCAAGTGGAGAAACCCTAAGGGTGTTTGTGTGCAAGTGTGTTTGATTGCATGCATGATTTTATCTTGAATTAGGATTTTATATTTCATTGATTTTATCTTGACATACATATCCTAATCACTAACATTTACACTAGAAAGCGATAAAAATGCGGAAATGTAAAGTCCTACGCTATTACATTATTTAGGGGGGTGGGGTAAAAATTTATGAATGGGGAGTACCAGCGAGAAAAATAAAGAAAATAAAAAGGGGAAGAAAGAAAGAAAAAGGAAAAGAGTCAACGTGCTGCTGAGAGGAAGTTAGAAGTTCTGACCCTGGCCTGCTGCAGGACAGCAACCTGTTAGTGAAACTGTATAGGTCATAAGTTCTGACCCTGGTACGCTGCAAAACAGAAACCTGTTAGTGAAAATGTATGGGGTCAGAAGTTCTGACCCTACTGGGCACACAGTAATTTTCAGAAGTTCTGATATTACTGATGACAAAACAGGCCCCAGAAGTTCTGGCGTCAAAGTCAGAACTTGGTCTCCCTCCGTGTTAGTCAAAACATCTGCAATTTGGTTATTTTTCCACAAAATAGAAGGCATGCCTAGGACAGTTTCAGCAGGTGTCATAGCGTTTAAGAAGTCAGAACCAAAAATCAGAGACAAGTTCTGAACTGAATCGATCCCTACTTAAGCGTACAGATGCGTGAAAACCTCAGAACATAAACAACATCAAAAGCATGATATCTACATTGTGTTTTTGAGCATGCAAATCTGGTGATGCTTAAGCAATGTGGTGAGGGTCAGCAAGTGCTTACCTCACAGCTAGAAAAAGTGGACTGGAGTTAGCCTTAACTCTGATGATGTTCTGAACAGGTTCTTTGAATGGATGGATGGAAGGTATATATATGAGTTAGAAAACTGTATGGGCGTTTCTTAGTCAAGAAATATTTTGAGAGCAAATGGAGTTTGAAAGCAGGAGGTTCAAAGTTAATGGTTGGTATACCGTGTTTACAGTTTTTGAAACTCTGGGAATTTTGGGCAGAGATTCAAGGTGTTTTCTTGCTAAAACTTTCTGTTTCTTTTCAGCAATTTTTCTCAACTTGGACCTGGGTTTTTCAATGGACAATGGTGTTCTATTTATAGGCAAAGCTTTGTGGGTTTTTAAAACGTTAAGTGGCACCAATATCATGCACTAGATGTTGACTTACTCTTGAAGAAAGTTCATAAAAAGTTGTGATGATTGACAGCTTTTAGCCTAGGCTAGGTTAGTAAGCGAGGATTAAGGAAAAGTGACACCCATGAGCGAAAAGTAGCGCATGAACCCATACCTAAATCTGCACAAGAGCGTTGTTATGCTGCACGTGGAGAGACCCTTTGGACAAATGCTCAAAAGTGGTTGTGAGCATTAAATGGTGATGAGATTGGATAAGAATAAAAATCTTGTAATATGAGATTTGCATCATTATTTAAATCTGAGCCAGCAGGTCCACTTCAGCATAGTCCAAAACAACACACCCAAGTTTTGATCTTCGTATCCTGCTGCCTCAGCAAATTCTGAGGGTTCTCCAGGCTTTCCAGCATGTTTTATAATCTTCTGTTCTTACCTTGGCAGATTCTGACTGAACTTGAGTAGCTGCTGAAGAACTACATTCTGACTGAATGTTATGTGTTAAGCCAAGTTTGCAACTTCTGACTGAGTTGGTGTAGCTGCTGAAGAGCCACATTCTGACTGAATTGGCGTAGCTGCTGAAGAGCCACATTCTGACTGAATTGGCATAGCTGCTGAAGAGCCACATTCTGACTGAATGTTATGTGCTGAGCCAAGTTTGCAACTTCTGACTACTTCAGCCTTGAGGTTGGTTCAGAAGTTCTGAAGTGTCATTTTTCTTAAATACTTTAGAAAAATTCTAAGTATTTAGAATTTAACTTTTTCAAGGTGAAATTTGACTTTTGAGCTTCTTGATGAAACAAACTTCATATTCCAACATGTCTTGATGAAATATGATTTTTGTGTTTTGATTTTGATCCAAAAACCAAAGTTTGACTTTTTTTAGCTTGCAAATGACCATTTTGCCCTTGTAAATGGCTTGCTTGGAAAGGAATGATAACTCAAGGCTTGGATTTGTATAAGAGAAAACTTTGAGAATCCAGGGTGATTTTCCTGAAAGATGAGAGGGCAAATTTTGGGGTACAACAATCACCAATAAAGTTTTGAGAACCATCTTTCAACCTGATAGAAATTCGACCTTTCCCCAAAATTGGAATATTTGAATTTTGTTTTCAAACTTCACGGTAGACTTTACCGTTTCGTTTAGAGACGAAAATAATTCCTTTTTCCCACACATATGATTACTACACCCAGTATCCAGATGCCTATATCGTCTTCTTCAGAAAATTATAACTGGCCAAAAATAAATTTTGTGGATTTTCAAAGTACTCACTAGTATTTTGATACAAACTCTCTGCCATATTTACCTGATGTTTGTATCTGCAATCAGCTTCTTTGTGTCCAAACTTTTCACAGTCATAACAACTATAATTCTTCCTTTCTTTGTTGTAGTTACCTCTTCCTCTGCCACGATATGTAGATCCAAAACTATGATCACATCTCCCTTGATATACTGGATTGAAACCGTTGAAGTTGTTCTCTCTCCATTGGTTAAAGTTACCACATTCTCTTCCTCCATAATTTCCTCGGGCCCCGCCTCTATAATTTCCTCTTCCTCTATTATGGTAATTATTTTGACCTCTTTCTTCTATAGTACGACTTAATTTAGAAGTGTTGTTGAAATTTACCCGACTCTTGAGAGTTCATTCTTTTACCACTTTCTCGGGGTTTTCTAATATTCTGCTGAAATGACTTTCAATGCTTCCTTGTAACTCTGCTACATACAAGGTGTATGTATCGTGTGACTCAATTATTGTAGTCACCACATGGTCAAATTTCATCGAAATCGTACGTAGAATCTTTTCTACCACTTTATTATCTGGAATATCTTCTCCATATACTCTCATCTTGTTGACGAGATTTATTACACGAGAAAAATATGGTTCTACTTTTTCTGAATTAGACATTTCGTACCTTTCATATTCTTTTACGCAGTGATTGTAGCTTTGACTTCTGAGCCTTCTCCATTCCTTTATGTGATAACTTCAATATGTCCCACACTTCTTTAGCAGTCTTGGCATTTGTAATTTTTCCAAATACTGAGAATCAATTCCTTGATGAATTTGTGAAAGTGTCAATCGATCCTTTCTACAAGCGACTTCATCAGCTGTTTGTCGTAAACCGGAATCCACAAAGCTCCAAACAATGTGAGCTTTAGATGTGTTGTCGTTAAAGTTTTCCAATAACTAAAATTTAACTCCGCAGTTAATTCTGGACCGGACCAAACAAAATTATAATTGTTTGCTATATCTCTCTCGAAAAATATTTACAATAAATTTTAACGCAATGAGAAGTCTTTTATTTCTCACATACTTAAAAATATTTTTAACACTCACACTAACAGGACCTAATGTACTCTAATAGAATGAGACTTCTTAATAAAAAATTCTCACACAAAGGAGAGAGCTTTATAATAAACTCTAATTTATTTGTGAAATTGATGATTTCAAACATAATAGTCAATGCCTTTATATAGGCATTGTATTAGAACAACTTACTGCCTAATAAACTTATTAAGGAAGCAATCATAGGGCGGTGTTACTTGGACTAATAGTTTTCTTTCTCTTAATGTGTAAGTTTAGTGTTACTTAATGACTAAGCTTAGTGTTACTTGGACAAAAGCTAGTTTCTAAATTCTAGTAGTAATTATATAGTTAGTCAACTGTTCTCAATACTTTTACTTGATTTAATTCCAACAAATTCTAAGGTCATAATGGTATATGCGGCCATTAAGGATGCATGTGATTACAACTCTAGGGAAAAGTTTATTGTTCATTCCATCTATTTATTGATGATAATTTCTATTATATATTATAAATCTTTAAATTTATGTTCATATATTGTCAAGTAGGTGATTTTTATAAGCTTTGTTGTGGACTTTAATTATTATTGTTGCAATGCATAAATTACATTTTATTTGTAACTTATGAATGTTTATAATTTTAATGCTTTATTTTATATTGTTACTCTTTATATATATTTAATTTTTTAAGTGTATGGATCAGAACCATAATTGATATTGAAAAGAGATTTTTAAGAGGTAATAAATGGCAATTCACCCCTGTCTTCAATGGAGAATTGATTTTTTTTTTGTTGCACCTCACACGCACAGATAAAAATTAAATTTTTTTAAAATACGTATTTTTATGTATAGTAACAAAAATCAATAACCCCGCTCCTGTAATTTAAAATTGGGTTATCCTCATTCCAGCTCTGTGTCCAGTTAAATAGAATTTTTTCATTATATTTGAGGAGAGAGCGATTGGGGTATTTTTTTGCAATACCTAATATATATGGATGTAAATTAAAATAATTTTGAACTTAAAATATATGTAATTGGGTTAAATATTTAGTTTATAAAACAAAAAAAAAAAGATTATAATAATATTTTATAAATTTATAATTATAATTTAGGCCTACTAAAAACTAAAAACTAAAAACACATTTCATAAATTTTTTATATTATATAAATTATATACATATATATTGATATTATTTACATAATTAAAACAAATTATTAATTAGGTTATATATATTTTGTTTGCAATATTGTATAATATATGTTGATTGAACCTAATAATGCTTAAACCTACTATTATGGACACTACTATCTCTTGTTTTAGTTTTCTTATGTGCGGATTATTCAGTTTTTTAACATCGTCGTCAATGACCATAATTGGCCTGCTAGCCAAAGCTCTCATGTCTTCCTGATTCTGGGCCATATTCTGAGTGATCTTTATGAATTGGTTTCACTGAGCTGTCATTTGCGTTTGCATGGAAGTCATGTTAGTTTGAAGTTACTCCATCTGGTGTCTTTGGTTACTTCTAGTCGAGTATCGGTGGAATGTGGAATTAGCAATCTCTGATAAGAAAATCACAGCAGGGATAAGAAGTCCAGTCTTGAACATCTATGTTGTATCTCAAATTTTCCCTCCCATTTTCTTCAAGACGTTCTTCTAAGATTCTCAAATACTCTAGGATTCTCAAGAGTTGACTGGTCAAACCTCCTCCTAAGCAAGGGTCCACAACCAGGGTTTTGGTTTTCTCAAGGAAAATTGGACTTCTAATGTCTCAAGTGGCTTTCATGGTTCATCATAGGTATCCAAGAATGCTCATATCAAGTTTCAAGTCTTGCATCACAAATTTGCTCAATCAATTGCTCAGATGACTGAAAATCAATTGTATTGGGTAAAAAGTCAATTGTGGTCAACATACAGTCAAACTTCAAGATTTTTTGCCAACATCAAAATTTTTAGGTGATATTCATCATTTGATCAAGGGTTGATCATAATTCCTCAAGAAAAACCCTCAAATCATCAGAGGTCAAAATTTGCCCAAATTAAGGTTTTAACTGAGGATGATTGATCATTGACTTTTGACCTAGTGCATGACCTAATGGCTTGAAACATGATCTCAATGATTCAAATACAACATCTTGACCTAATTACATGGCTCAAGACATTTCCAAAGATACAAATGACTGATAGTTGGAAAAATGAATTGATTGATGAAAAAGTCAACTGTCACACAAAAGTCAAACTTTGACTTTTTGGTCAACATTGAACTTCAAAAATCAAGAATCATCAATACATTCAAAATTATCAAGCTTGGTCATCAAGAATCAACAAAGTCAACAAAAGTCAAAGATAGAAAATTTTCCAACACTTAGAAAATTTTTTAAGTGTTAGTGCTTTATTCTTAACAAATTCACAACTATTGGCCATTTTTCACCAATATGCAAATTGATTCAAGGGAAACTTTCAACATGAAAGTTGTAGGAATTGATTAATTCTACAACTTTATCCTTGAGGGATGATCTTCAAAAAGTGCTTAATTTGAGAGATATAAGCCCATGAAGTTGTGATATTTTTATTCTACACTTTGAAAAAAATTTCAACAAGTTTGGTCAAATTTTTATCCCAACTTGACATATTTTCACCAAGTTCCAATTTGATTTAGCCAAAGTGGTCAACATAAAAGTTGTAGACAAAGTTTCAAGCTTTCCAAAATTTCTAAGAACAAAATTTTATCATGCTTGAGCTAGGAGATTCGAAGAGATGAAGTTGGGCATCCATTCTTGAATTATAGGTCACATTTGTGAAGAATACATAATCAATTCCTCATGCCATGCTGCATAATCTTGCTTTACAGGCCTCTTAACTTATGAATCTACCTCTAATCAAAATATTGCACAAACTTTTGAGCCATTATCCACTTGATTCAAGCTTTGTCTGAGACAATTTTCCATTAATGACACAAAGTTCACACTTCCATTTTGGAAAAATTTTCTTTAATCACTTTGTCAACTCTCCTTGAGCCTCTCACTTTCTCCCTCTGCATACACTCAACACAAAATCCAGAAGCAATATGTTTAAAGTGCATAACCACTTTAGATTGCCCTGTACTTCACATTGAAACCATGTGTTTCAAAGTTTGCTTCATTTACAATCTAACCTAGCCATAACATGTGATCTTGTAAACTAAGCCCTCTCATCCTCTAAAACCTTTTCTCTATAAATAGAGATGTCATTTGCAAGAAAACACACGAGTTGAGAAGCCCTCAAAACCTCTCATCCTCTCAAAAACAAAAATTGGCAAAAATCATCCATTTCTTGAGCTTCAAAATCCTTTTCTTCGAAACTCTTCAAACTTGCAACTTTTGTTCAAACCAACCACCCATACACTCCATATACATCATACATAAGTGATCCAAACACTTATTTCACCACGGTAAATCCATTACCATCGTCCACCATTTTCAAATTTTAACCTTGCAACATGACTTGAGTAGATCATTTCAGCTACTCTCAAGACAAAGTAAGGATTGCAATACACTCACCAAGATCCAAGGAAGTTTAAGCAAGCATCACATTACTTCTGGAAGTCGTGTAGAGGGTGTTGAATTTTTGCATCAAGAGGTAAGTTTTTTCCAACTTTGAAATCTTGATGCAAGCATCATTTGCACTTAATTTTAAAAGATAAAATATAGACATCATTACCCTAAAGCTAACCATGTCCTTAGTTTTCATTTTAATTAACTATGTGATGAGAATTTTAAAATTGAATTTTCTGAGATTTTAGGGTTCAATTTGGTACCAAACAAAATTCATCCTAACCTTTGATCTGTAGCTTTTGAAATTTATATGTTTGGATTCGTGATTAAAAAACAAGCAAGTTTTTTTTTTACAACTTTTGATTTGGTTGAGAAATGAAGGATCTACAAAAATCAAAATGGAGAAACGTTGTTGTTGTTGTTACAGTAGCGCGCGAAGGAAGAAGAAGAAAGAAATGATATTTTCAAAATTTCAAAATGGAGTTTATAATATATTTACTAGGGGCGCTTCATAACGGGATAAAACAGCCACCCCAGTGATAAACAAGCGTCCGCATAATGTAAGGGACCTGGGTTCGAGCCCAGCGGTACCCTTTTAATTTTTACACATTTGTTTCTTTAAGATCATGTGCAGGCCAACTCAATGTACACACCATGCGCCTCTCTCCATCACCATATGATAATCACAAGATTAAATCCAATGCCCAGATAAGAAAGTGGATGGTGCACTTCCAGGGGCCAGCCACATGGGATCCAGCATTGGGGTTTGGGCTCTTGTGTTGGGTCTGCTTGATTTTCTTTCCATAATCCCTCCCCCATGTTTGCTAAATCAGGCCCATTTTCATTTTATTTTTATTTTTCTGATTCAAACAAAAATTTGTTTTGGGCCTAATATCTTTTTTCCTTTTCAACCCCTAATTTCTTTTTATAGCACCAGGCCCAATCTTTTATTTCTTTATATTTTCTTTCTCACTGTTATTTATTTATTTCATTTAATAAAAATAAAAAAAATAT